CGCCGGCTGCGGGGCCGCCGCGTAGGCCGCTCGGCCCGGGACCCCGGCCCAGGCCCGGCGCGCGGGGGAGCGCGGCCAGGGACGCGCACCCGGGGCCGGCCTCGCCACCCACCTGTCACCTGGGGCCGGGCGCGGGGCGCGGGCCTCGGCCTGGCCGGGCAGGGCCGGTCGCGGGCGCGGGGTGGGGGGGCGAAGGCGGTGAACCAAAATGGCGACTTTTTCTGGAGAAGGAGGAGGCAGGAAGACGGCGCCGGCGCGGGGCGCGGGGCTCGGGCGCGGCGGGGGGCGGGGGGCTCCGGGCCCGGCCCCCTCCCCGGCCCGCGCGCGGGGTCGAGATCGGGGCGCGGCGGGCGCCGGGGCTGCGGCCGAGTCGGGGCCGGGGCGCGGCGGGCGCTTACCTGAGGCGCCCAGCGGGGCTGCGGCCGGGCCGGGCCGGGCCGGGGCGGGGGGCGCGGGGCGCGGGGCGCGGGGTCCGGGCGGCGCAGGCTGCGCGCGGCGCTGCGCACATGCGCGCTCCCGCCCCTCCCACCTTTGACAGTTTTACTGCGGGGGGAGGGGGCGAACTCTCGCGTTATTCCCGCGGCCGCTCCGCGACGGGGGCGGCGGGGGCGGCGGGGGCGGCGGAGGGGGCGCCCCGCGCTGGCCCGCGTCCCCCCTGCGCGCGATGTCGCCCCCGTCGGCCGGTCCCGCAGCCCAGAGCAGCCAGTTCTGCAGTCCTGGGGCGGGGGCCGCGTTTTGGACCGCGGGGTAAACTGAGGCCCCATAGCGGGGCTGGGCGCTGCCCGGAGCCCGGCGCGCGGATTGAGGCGGCCTGTTTCCCGCGCGTCCTGCCCGGCGCGGCGAGGGCGGCCTTGGGGCGCGGGATCCTGACCTCTGGCCCTGGGGGCCGCGCACTGGCTGGGCCGCATTCGGCCTCTTTCCCGCTGCCCCCGCGGGGGTCGCCTGGCTCCCAGCAGCGCCTGGCGGCTTGAGGCCATGGGGCTTTACCGGGGTCACTGACCATTGGGTCAACCTCTCCCGGCTCTGGGGGCACTGGTTCTGGGTCAGTGCCCGCGCGTTCTCTGCGCCACAGCCGGGGCTTCTGCAGGGGACACCGGGGTCCAGTGTGGGCTGGGCGGTCCGGAGGTGACCGAGCACTGACAGCACGGGACTGGGGAATGAACGAGGCAGAGAAAGGCGTGCTCTCCTTGAGAGCACCGGGAGGAGGTCCGTGCGCCTTACCTGGGAGGCCCCACACCGGTCTGGCACAGGACCCACCAGAATTTCCCCCAGGAGAGCCTGCCCACCTTCCCTTCCTTCCTTCCCTTCCCTCCCCCGCTCCTCTCTCCCTCCCTCCCTCCCTCCCATGCTTCCTCTCCTCTGTTCTTTTCTTTTTCTTGAGATAGGGTCTCACTGTGTCATTCAGGCTGGAATGCAGTGATGTGATCTTGGCTCACTGCAGCGTCTACTACCTGGGCTCAAGCAATCCTCCCACCTCACCCTTCCAAGTAGCTGGGACTACAGGTGTGTGCCACCACACCTGGCTAAGTCTTAAAGTATTCGTACAGACGAGGTGTTTCTGTGTTGACCAGCCTGGTCTTGAACTCCTAGGCTCAAGCAATCTTCCTGCCTCAGCCTCCCACCATGTGGGCATTACCCACCACCTCCAGCTGGCAGGGCCATTCTTACCTGATCACAACACCCATCTCCCAGGGAAGGCCTCAGGCCTCAGGAGGGAAGAGTCAGGGAGACTCTGGGTTTTCCTCTTGTGCCTACAGAGCTTTTTTTTCTTTTGAGATGGAGTCTAGCTCTGTCACCCAGGCTGGTTTGCAGTGGTGCAATCTCAGCTCATTGCAACCTCTGCCTCCCAGCTTCAAGCAATTCTTCTGCCTCAGCCTCCCGAGTAGCTGGGAGGCATATGACAGCCACTATGCCCAGCTAATTTTTTGTATTTTTAGTAGAGACAGTGTTTCACCAAGTTGACCAGGCTGGTCTCGAACTCCTGACCTCGTGATCCACCCACCTCGGCCTCCCAGAGCGCTGGAATTACAGGCGTTAAACACTGCACCTGGCTAGCATTTATTTATTTTTTAACCATATGCATATATTACTTTTACAATTAAAACAGACTTTTAGACTGGGGTGGTGGCTCACACCTGTAATCCCAACCCTTTGGGAGGCTGAGGAAGGTGGATCATGAGGTCAAGAGATGGAGACCATCCTGGCCAACATGGTGAAGCCCTATCTGTACTAAAAATACAAATTAGCTGGGCGTGGTGGTGCACACCTGTAGTTCCAGCTACTTGGGAGGCTGAAGCAGAAGACTCGCCTGAACCTAGGAGGCCAAGGTTGCAGTGGGCCAGGATATCACCACTGCACTGCAGCCTGGCAACAGAGCAAGACTCCATCTTGAAAAACAAACAACAAACAGACTTTTAAAAGTTTCATAATGCCTCTTTTTGCATGCTACAAACATCCTGGACTCCTTAAAATTCATGTGGGCTGGAAATTGCTAGTCAGAAAATGGAGGTACAAAGTGTACCTCCTTCGCTGGGGTCCTTCCGGCCCAGTCGGCACCTTCTGCTGCCCCAGGAGAAAGCTCAGCGGCACTGCTGTGGGGCTGGGCAGGGAAGAATTGTGCCTTTCCTCGAAGGGGGCTGGGATCTGCTTCACTCAAGCCTGGCACAGAGCGGAGCACTCACACAAAGATGGGCTTTTGTGGAAGAGGCAGTCAGGTGGTCCTTCCCTTGGGAATCTGAGCCAGAGAGAGGCCAGTGCACACCAGTCTGCGTGACCTGAGGAGTAAGGACAGGACATTTCCCGCGAGGCTAGCGCCATTGTGTCCTTCGCTTGCTGACCTTTCCCCCTGGGGATAGGACCAGCAGGATTTCCTGAGGGCTGGTGTGTGTCCCCTTAGGTGCATCCAAGGTGGTCAGCTCTCCGTGTAAGCCTGGGTGTCCATACGTGCGACCTGTTTGGACATTGCCGTGTCCCATGCTGGGTGAGGCCAACGCCTGTGTGTGTGTTAGCGTCTGGGCAACTAGACATCAGGGTGCATGCGGACAGTGTGTCTGGATCTCAGCATATATGTATCTAGGTTGTGGCATGTCTCAGCGTCAGGTGCTGGTTGATGTCCATGTGTGAGAGGACAGTTGTTTTCTGTGTGCCGCTAGATGCCAGGGTTTTGTGTAATGCAGCCTGTTTGTGTGCGTCGGGGACATGCTGGGTCCCACCTGTTTCTATTTCTACATATTAGGAGGTCGTCGTGTGTCTGCATGCTAGTGTTTGTGTGTTTGTTGATGGCATGTTGTAGGTGGGCATGCTATTACGTACCTTTGTGTCTGTGTGTCTGGCCAACTGCATAGACGTGTTTGTGTTGGTGTTTGCTGGTGTCAGCGTCACTGAGTCTCTGTGTATGAGTGTCTGTGTGTGGCTTATGCCTCCGAGTTCTTTTTTTTTTTTTTTTTTGAGACAGAGTCTTGCTATGTTGCCAGGCGCTAGCCTGGAGTGCAGTGGCGCGATCTCAGCTCACTTTAACCTCCACCTCCTGGGTTCAAGCAATTCTCCTGCCTCAGCTTCCCGAGTAGCTGGGACTACAGGCGCGCACCACCACGCCCGGCTAATTTTTGTATTTTTAGTAGACATGCGGTTTCACCATGTTGGCCAGGATGGTCTCGATCTCTTGACCTCGTGATCCACCTGCCTCGGCCTCCCAAAGTGCTGAGATTACAGGCGTGAGCCACCGTGCCCGGCGCCTCTGAGTTCCTGTGTCTGACTACTGTGTGTCAGGGTGTGTGCTGTGATCTGTGTGTATTTAAGACAGGGTCTTGCTCTGTTGCCCAGGCTGGAGTACAGTTGAGTGGTCAGAGCTCACTGTGCCTTGAACTCCTTGACTCAAGGAATCCTGCAGCTTCAGCCTTCCAAGTAGCTGGGACTACAGGTATGCGCCACCATGCCTGGCTAGTTTAAAAAGTTGTTTTGTAGAGATGGGGTCTTGCTGCGTTGCACAGGCTGGTCTTGAACTCCTGGCCTCAAGTAACACTCCTGCCTTGATCTCCCACAGTGCTGGGATGGCAGGCCTGAGCCACTGAGCCTGGCCTTCTGTGTTCCTTACGTCAGGGCACTCACTGCTGACTTGGGAACCCCCAGCAGATGTTCAGTTTTTTGTTTTTGAGATGGAACTTGGTTCTTGTTGCCCAGGCTGGAGTGCAATGGCACGATCTCGGCTCGCTGTAACCTCTGCCTTATGGGTTGAAGCGATTCTCCTGCCTCAGCCTCCCAAGTAGCTGGGATTACAGGCGCCTGCCACCACACCCGGCCAATTTTTTATATTTTTCGAAGAGATGGGGTTCCACCACGTTGGCCAGGCTGGTCTCAAACTCCTGACCTCAGGTGATCCACCCGCCTCAGGCTCCCAAAGTGTTGGGATTACAGGCGTGACCCCTGCAACTGGCCAGATGTTCATGCTTTATCTCTGAGTGTGTGGATGGGACCTTATTGGGAAAAGGGTATTTGCAGATTGACTAAAGATCTTGAGATGAAGAGATCATCCTGTATTACCCAGGTGGGCCCCAAATCCAAATCTCCTAAGAGGGAAGCAGAGGGAGATTTGAGAGACGGAAGAGGAGGAGGTGATCTGATTACAGAGGTGGAGACGCCAGTAATGCCCACGAGCCTGAGCCCGAGTTCTCCGGAGGCCACCGGAAGCTGGAGAGGCCAGGAATCTCCCCAGGAGGCCCCGGGGGAGCTGGAGTTTGGACTGCGGCCTCCAGAATCGTGAGAGCACCCCTGGTGGTCCTGTGTCATGGCAGCTGCAGGACCCTCTCGCGTGTGCCTGGGCCGTGCCTTCCAGCGAGCGGGGCGTTGAGTCCAGCCCTGGGGGCCGCCCGCCAGGGTGCCTTTAGCCCCCTTTCCAGCCTCAGCGCTGGGGTGGCTCAGATGCCCCTGGAGGACGCGACGCCACTGCCCCCTGGTGGCCGCGGCTGCCCGGACGCCCTCTCCTCGCAGACCCAGCGCTTGGGAACCAACTTTATTTTTTATTTTTTTATTGTCAGGGCATAAAAAAGTGAGCACAAAACAAGGAAGATGAAACAGGCGTGCGTGGGGCAGAGCAAGACAGAGGAGGAGGGAGGGGAACAGAACCGGAGGGCCCCCTGGGCGGAGGCTGATGGTGGGCGGAATCCTCTCTCGGGCTGCCACACAGGACAGGGATGAGGGTTTCCCCCAGGTGGGGGCTCACGGGATGGGAGCGGTCAGGCCAGTTGTCCAAATTCTACCTGGGACCCGCAGTGACCAGCCTCGAGTCTGGAGGCTGACTGGGGGCTCAGCCTCATCTGTCCCTGAGATTTTCAGAAGCCCCGAGGGTATCGGGAGAGGGCAGGGGCGCAAGAGGGCAGGGGCAGCCAGGGCTGCCCTCACTGTCCTGCCAGGCAGCACCAGCCCCGAACCACCCAGGAAGGGGCTGCTGGGGCCTCTGGGTGGGTCTAGGGGGAGCAGCCCTGGGAAGGCCTCCCCCCTGAATCCAGGCCTTCTTGGGAAAGCGGGAATGGGAAGGCCCACACACAAGGCCCTAATTCCTTGAAGGTGGGAGTGGGGAAGAGTTTCCCAAAGACAGGGCAGGGAGCACTGCCGAGCCTGGGCCTGGGTGTGGAGCCACCCGGACAGGGCTGGGCCCTCGCTGTGCCACATTTTGTCTCTGGTGCTTGGTCAGTCTGGGCCTTTCTCTGCCTCACTTCTCATGAATAGAGGGGTGTGGTGAGGATGAAAGTGCTTGGCATGATCCTTTGGGTGGGTGCCGATGGCCGCTACTCTAGATGACGCCTGCTGGGCCCTGGCAGAGGCATGGGCACAAGCCACAGGGAGCCCAGGCAGCTCATGGCACCTGTGTGGGCCAACCTGGAGGTGATGGGGAACGGCTGAGAACTGGGCTGGGGGTGGACAGACAAGTGACTCAGCAGGTGATGGGGGACGGACATCGAATGGGGAAGGGCACGTAAATAAACAGACTCCCTGGGAGTCTGGGGGGACACCCAAACCGGCTCTGGCTCCAGGCAGCTGCCTCGAGTGCTGCCAGCAGCACCAGGGGAGGGCTTAGGCTCAGGTCCCAGGAGGTAGGGCCACACTCAAGCAGCCCTCTGCCCACCCAGCCCCAGGGCGCAGCCTGGAATGTCCAACCAGAGGCTCCTGGAGCTGGTGATCCTGGTGTTGTCTGTCCATTGGGCCGGCCTGGCCACCAGGGCATCCTGCAGGGTCCAGGAGGGGCTACGGGGCCAGCTCTGCCTCCTCCCTAGTCCTGGACTCTGGTCACAGTGCTGGGGTCTGGGGTTCAAGCCTCAGCAGCAGCTAGGACATTTTTCCAAAGGAAGCTGTGGGGTGGAGAGGGTGAGGAAGGGGTGGGGTCTTTGGTGTCATCTGCATTATGGCCTTTACTGGGGCCTGCAGCCACCCTCCTGAGGTCATCCCACCCGGCACTCAGAGGGGCTTCTCCATCAGCCCCCAGGCCTCTCTGGCACCTCACACTGACCTTGGCTGAGCAGCTGCAGGCTCCGCCCCTCCTCACGCACCTGCAGGCGGAGCACCTGCTGCAGCACCTCCTGCCTCTGCGCCTCCTGGGCTAGCCCCATCCTCTGCAGCTTCTCTGCATTCAGCCGCAGCAGTGCTCGGCCTGGGGAAAGGAAACAGGGACTGAGCGCAGGCCAACAGAAGCATCACGAGCCAGGGCAAGGCCGGCGCAGTGGTTCACGCCTGTAATCCCAGCACTGTGGGAGGCCGAGGTGGGCAGATCACTTGAGGTCAGGAGTTCAAGACCAGCCTGGACAACATAGTGAAACCCCATTTCTACTAAAAATACAAAAAATTAGCTGGGCTTAGTGGCTTGCACCTGTTGTCCCAACTAATTAGCTGAGGCAGGAGACTCATTTGAACCCGGGAGGCAGAGGTCGCAGTGAGCCGAGATCCTGCCACTGCACTCCAGCCTAGTGACAGAGTGAGACTCCATCTCAGACACAAACAAACAAACAGAGCCAAGGCAGAGGCCGGGACTGAGAGAGAAAGAGGGAGAGAGAGATTCAGAGAAACAGATAGAGACGTGGAGAGAGGCAGAGGGAAAGGGTGAAGAGCAAAAGGCAGAGACGGAGCAGAAGAAACCCAGGTGAAGACAGCACAGAGAGATGGGGAGAGACACAGAAAGAAAGGCAGAGAGGGCCGGGCGCAGTGGCTTACGCCTGTAATCCCAGCACTTTGGGAGGCCAAGGTGGGTGGATCACAAGGTCAGAAGATCGAGACCATCCTGGCCAATATGGTGAAACCCCGTCTCTACTAAAATAACAAAAAATTAGCTGGGCGTGGTGGTGTGCGCCTGTAGTCTCAGCTACTTGGAAGGCTGAGGCAGGAGAATTGCTTGAACCCAGGAGGTGGAGGTTGCAATGAGCCGAGATCACACCATTGCACTCCAGCCTGGGAGAGAGAGCAAGACTCTCAAAAAAAAAAAAAAAAAAAAAAAAAAAAAAAAAAAAAAAAAAAAAAAAAGGCAGAGAGGTATGAAGAAAAGATTCTGCAAAGATGAAGACCAGAGGGGAAGATGACTCAGAGGAAGATCTAGACAGACAAAACCCATAGTAAGAGAAAGGCCGGGGGTGTGGGGAGGAGGCGCTAGGAGGCATCCAGCCCCTCCCACAGCACCCTCAGCCCCGCTGTACCGGTGATGGCATGCTGTGTGAAGGCCTCCACGTAGACGAGGTAGTTGTGGGGACAGTGCTTCTTGAGCCACTTGCACACGTCCTGCTGGCTCCACAGGACCACGGGCCGGGTCAGGCCGCCCAGTGAGGGGCTCGTGTGGTACAGCCCATAGTGGTCAGAGTACAGCCGGCCCTGCAAGGGAGGGGCGTGGCAGGCAAAGTGAGGGTGGTGGAGAGGGAGGGCGGAACGGAGGCGGGTGGACTGGGTGCGTACCTGGGGGGTCTCTGTGCCCGGCTGCTGCAGGAGCTTGATTGGCCTGCTGCTGGCCGCCCTCTGGCTGCGGGAGTCATGCCACGTGAGGCTGGTGCCAGGTGTCCGAGGCAAGTGGCAGGGGATGCTCTCAGCTGACACCGTGTGCTCCAGGAGGGTCCGGCAGAAGTTGAAGTGGGCAGTGGCTGTGTGTGGGGGTGCCTGGTCAAGGCAGTAAAGGGCAGGGGCAGAGGCTTCCTCTGCTTGAGAGCCAGCTCCCTGCCCCATCTCCCCTACACCAGTTCGGAAATCACTTCCCCCGTGATGGGTTCCCAAGCCTCCGAAGGCAGAAGGAAGTGTGCAGGCCGTTTTCAGGACCTTCCCCAGCACAAAAGGTGAAGAACTGGAAACACCTTTCCTCTTGCACGTCTATAACCCTCACCCTGGGGAAGCAGGATGGATGCTGCTTAGACCGGAGGATGTGCCACTAGGGAAGGGAACCTAAGACATAGGTTCCCTAAGGCAAGAGGGGCTATCCTGGAACAGCCCTGACCGCACCCTTGCCTTGGGCTGGCGCACAAGCCTTGCACACATCACCCCAGACCAGAAGCGCACACACATGACCTGCTTTGAGGAAAGGCAGGTCCCAAATCTGGGGATATCGTCTGTGGTGGGGAATCCTGGCTGAGAATGCTGCCTGCCCATCGCCTTTGAAGGCACCCAGTTCACACAGCCCTATTTGGTGTTGGGGCCCAACTCACTATGGCTCATTGACTGCCTGAACTCTTGGCCAACTCACAAGCCGGGTTCCCTCCCCAAACACTCGCTGGGCTCTCCAGCTGTGCCACAGCCCACAGGGTCTGCCGAAAACCCAGCCCAGTTCTCGGCCGTTCCCCAGCACCTCCAGGTTGGCCCACACAGGTGCCATAAGCTGCCTGGGCTCCCTGTGGCTTATGCCCATACCCCCACCAGGACCCAGCAGGCTGACTCATCATCTAGAGTAGTGGCAGGCCCAGGACAACACCGGCTGTGTGAATGGTGGGCACGCACTGGCTATGGGTGGGTGAGCATAGGTATGTAGGATACGGCTATTGCTCGGAGACCCATGGGGATGCCCTGTGCTCCCTCTTCCTGCAGTAAGTACATTAAGGTGTCTCATCTGAGCTTTGTCTTATCTCTGGGGGCACTGCTGACCTGAGTCTGGGGGAGGCAGACATTTCGATCCAGGTCTTGTTTCATGGGGCACCCCACAACATTGTGAATGAATGAATGAATGAATGAATGAAGGCTCTGTATGGTGTCTGCAAGTGAACAGAGCCTGTGGGGAGGCAGAAGGTGGGCACAGGCCTGCCCCTGTCTTTACAGCACCCAGGCCCTCAGCAGGGCAGGTGAGGTTCCCACGCTGGGGTCCTCCCCTCATGTACCCTACCCGCCCCACACTCAGCCACCGACTCCACACCCAGGGCAGGGCTTGGGGATGTGTTTAGGAGGTCTGAATATCAGGGGAAACCCACATCCTACTCCCCGGTCCTCCCACCCCTGTAAGGCTTCTGAGACAACATCTTCCACCCCAATTCTTACAACTTTCAGGAACGGGACCCCGGGTGACCCCAAATTTGAGGTCTAGGGTCAGCAGAGGGTGTGGCCAGTGGGCCACCGCACCCGAGGTAGCCTCTAGTGCTGTGGGAAGACTTATTCTAAGCCCGCGCCTTCCAGCGGACAGGCGCCGTGGTCTCCGGGCTTTGCAGGGCCTGGAGCGGTCGTGCTGGTGCAGGAGCGCGCAGCAGCCGCGGGAACCCGTCCGACTCCTCCGCCTGCGCTGCACCTGCCCCGGGCAAGCCGGCTCCGCCCATTTCCTGCCCGCATTCCGAGAGTCCAGTCTGTCCCGCGGCGGCCCGTGGGTCCCTCCCGCCCTAACGCCAAGATTCCAGAAGGAGATGGGGCGAGGACACCCGGGCCGGCTGTGACCTCGGTCCCCTCTCGGCCCCACGGCGAAGGCTCGGAGGGTTTTCTCCGCATGAAGGAAGAGGTGACCGAACGCAGTGCCGCCGAGGACACAGGCGCCCCGGCTTGTCACCCGCTCGCCCCCAGCCAAGGGCGCGCTGACCGGGCCTGAGGCCGGCTGCCCCCCAAAACAGGACAAAGGCCACGGGGACCCCGCTGGGCCGAGACGTCCTCCGAACACCCACGGCCGCCGCCGCTCCAAGCCCGCCGGGTCCCGCCCCCCGTGCCTCTGGGTCCCTGCGACCCCCGCCCACGACATCCCCGCGCCCGGGTCCAGCCCCGCTCACCGTCCACATCCCGGCGCTCCCCGAAGTCCGCGCGCACGGCCCCGGCGCGGCCTCGCGGGGGGCTCAGCTTGGACCTCAGCTCGGTGAACATGGGGCCCGGGAGCCCGGCCCGCGCACACGCCCCTCGCCGAGTGCAGGGCGGCCGGTGTGGCCGGCGGGGAACGCGCGCCGCCGCCCCGCCCCGCCCCAGCCGGCCCCGCTCCCGAGCCGGTCCCCGCGGTCCGCGAGTCTGCGCGGCGAGGCACCTGCTGCCGAGCCCTGTGTGCCGGGCGCGCTCCGGGAGCTCCGAGGTGTGTCGGCGGCGCGCGGGCCTGCGTGCGCCAAGGCTGTCCGCCAGGGCGAGGGGCGTCCGTGCGCCCCCGGGCGCGGCTCCGCCCAGGAGAGGCCCCGTGCACCTGCTGGGGGTCCTCTGAGGTGCTGCCCCTCAGTGCGTAGGGATGGGCTGACGGGCATCGTGCGGGGCCTTCTACCCACAGAGCCAGGAGAAGGGGCAGATCAGCCCCTCCCACACACTGCCCTCGGCCTCCTGCCTCTTCGCTCCCCCTCGAATGGGCACCCGCTTCCCCGGAGAAACCAGCTTGACACTTGCTTACCGCCCACCCCACTGTGAACATTAGGGTGACTGTCCCGTCCCTCTGCAGCCCCAGAACCTGGCTCAGTGCCCGGGGGGGCGGTGCAGTGCTCTGTAGCTGAAAGGGGCTTGGCTGGAGATGGGGCAGAGGGGAACTCCAAGGCGGCTGCAGCAGGCCGGAGCGATGTGTTTGCTCCAGGACTCCAGTGAGAAGCGCTGGGCCGGGCTGGGCTGTGGTTGGCTTGCTCTGCCCAGGAGCCTAGGTGCTCTCCCTGGGTGTATGCAGGGGCTCTGGAGGATGTCTTACAGCAGAAGGAGCAGAAATGCGTGCACCCCAAACACGAGCACACGTGACCTCAATGTGCGCACACCCCACTAATCCACACACGCAGAATTCACCCACATGCTTGACAGCCATGTTCAGGTACTGACGTGTTCCCGACAGGTCAGCTGCGGTTATTTCGTAGATTAGCTCTCCGGGAGCTGAGAATGTGGCCCTCACCAGAATGTCCAAGGCTTGCTGGGGGACGTGGGTGGGGTCTCTAATCCCGCTGGAGGCACAGATGCCTGAATGGGGGCCCCAAAATATGAATGCTAAAAGCATAGGGCAGCAGCGTGCGCACAGGACGCCCACAGGCAGGTGTGCCCACAGGCAGATGTGCCCATAACCAGTGCGCACAAGCGCTACACAACTGCTCGGGGTGCAGCTCCACTCCAAAGTGATCCGGGCCCGCCGAGGGCGGCGGCGGGAAGCTGGGCTGGCTCAGAGGGAGGGGACCATGGGCCCTACTGGCAGACGGGTCTCCTTGGGAATGCATCAGAGCACTGGGGAGGCAGCGAGGCCCCAGGCTCAGCTTTTGGGGCCGCCCCAGGAGCCCGTTCGGGTCCCAGCGCACGCTCGGCCTCGCTCCTCCCGCCCCGCCACGAGGAGGCGCTCCCGCGCACGCGCCTGCCGTGTCCCCGCCCCCTGGCCGCGGCCGGAAGTCGTCAAGGAGCGCGTCGGGGCTTCCGCCCGGGGAGTCGAAAGTGGGCGGGCTTTGTGCGCACCGAGCGCTCTGCTTCCGGCGCGCGAGTGACGCGCCAACCGCGACCTCCTCGTACGGAGCGCCTCGGACGTCGGAGCTTGGAGTGTCTGCGTCTTTCCCTCCTCCGCGGCTTCATTCCTTTCCTTCCTAGCTAGGTCGTCGTCGCCGCCATGAACAAGAAGAAGAAGCCGTTCCTGGGGATGCCCGCGCCGCTCGGCTACGTGCCCGGGCTGGGCCGGGGGTGAGGCCTGGGCGAGGCCTGGGGCGGCGCGCGGGGGGCGGGGACCCGGCCGGCGGGGCGCGGGGCGCGGGTTTCGGGGCGGGGGTCTTTGGCCGCGCAGTCTGAGCGACCTCGAGGGAGGCAGCCGCGGGCTTTGGGTCCGGACAGACGTGTGCATGCAGCCCGCCCGCCGCGCGGGTGCGACGCGCTGCCTGTCCGCCGGGTGTGAGACGAGCGCTGCTGTATGCAGCCGGCAGTGATGTGCAGCGGGAACGCGGCCGCCTTCCCAGGCCCGGCTGGCACACCCCCCGCCCCGCCCCGAGCGTGCCTGGGTCCTCCTTGCCTGCAACACAGATGGCCACCGTACGTTGTCGGATAAGTGAGCAGTCGTTGCTGTCCTATTTGGCCATTCATTTGATGAGGAAGACGACTGGGTTTTTCTTGGTGGTGGTATTATGCTAGAATCTGTGGGGCACACGCAAGACTCCGATGTGGACTGCGCCTTCAAAGGACCCGAAGCTCGTGGAGGATTTGGTATTAGCATAAGTCAGTACATAAGGAGGATCAGATTTAGAACCCAGTGCTTAATGGAGTGTGGCGTTGGGGCCCAGTTCAGTAGGAGAGCTGGACTTAGGGCTGCAGAAACGAGGTAGCGATAGAAGAGAAACTGAAATTCTGTGTGTGTGGAGTGTTAGAAAAAAGTGAGGCCAGGGGAAGCCCAGGAACGGGGGAGTCCAGTGTGAATGGGATGTGCAGCCAGTGGAACGGAGCTTAAGAGGCTGGAGTGGCCTTGAGCGCCGGGCTAAAGCTCCTGGAGACGTCAGAAAGACCATGACCCTTCAGAAGTTTTCAGTCAGAGCTGTGTTTTGGGAAGAATCATCTGGCAGAGGATGGGTTGAAGTAGAGGAAGGCTAGAGGCAGGGAGGGCTAACTCGGTTTCCAGCTATGGTGGGAGTCATAGTCCGGGGAGGAGAGATTTTTAAGGTGGATTCATTAGTACTTGGTGGCAGACAGGATGGAGAGAGTGGGAGAGGGAGGCAAGTACTGTGTCACGGACCCTTGGCATCTGGGTCAGCACGCCGAAACACCCCTGAGCAGCTGTAAGGTGGGCCCAGAAGAGGAACTCAGTTTGGGCCAAGTTGGGTTTAAGGGCCTGATTGGATGTGGTGGGGGGAGATGATCAAAGCCTTCAGGTGGGGGGATTGCCTTGGTAACGTCATCAGGGTAGGTTAAACCTTCAGGTAAGTAGAGAAGATCAGTGGTATTTGAGACCGCAGTTCATTGTCACTAGGGTCTTTGGAGGTTCCCAGAGGTGTTAAAAATAGAGGTGATATTAAGTGATGAGCAGGGGTGGAGAAGAGCCCGGGAACAGGTGCACTCAGATACTGGGTGTCTTGGGGGTCTCCTGCAGTGCCACTGGCTTCACCACCCGCTCAGACATTGGGCCCGCCCGTGATGCAAATGATCCTGTGGATGATCGTCATGCTCCCCCAGGCAAGAGAACCGTTGGGGACCAGATGAAGAAAAACCAGGCTGCTGATGATGATGATGAGGACCTAAATGATACCAATTACGACGAGGTGAGATGTGTCTGGCTTCTGTGTCTCCTCCAGCTAGTCTCTGGGAGCAGCTGACCAGCTCCCTAACCAGTGTGTGTTGGTGCCTGTAATGAGTGGCTTGGAGTGGCTCATGCATTTAAAATTTCAGCTATTCACGGGACATCTTTAGCAGAGAGTGAGAGGGAGCAGAAAGAATATGGAGAAATGTGCACTTTTCATCTCTTCAGAGAGATGTTCTTGCAGATGTCAGGACCACTGCCTTGGTATTTTGTATTGGTCGGTCTTCTATGATAAAAACTTACAGTGGAGCTCATGACAATATTTGCTTTTTGTAGCGTTAGTGGTTGCCCTCTAAAAAGACATCTAAAGGAAAACCTCAGCTGACTGAACTGTCTTCTAACAGATCACATTTTTCCTCTGAGGAAAATTTTAAAAAATAATTTTAGTTTTGAAATAATTTTAAATTTGCAGGAACTTGCAAAAGTAGTGCCCAAAAAAAGTAAAAGAAAAAAAAATGTTGGCCAGGCGTGGTGGCTCACATCTGCACTTTGGGATGTAATCCCAGCACTTTGGGAAGCCGAGGTGGGCGGATTACAGGGTCAGGAGATCGTGACTATCCTGGCCAACATGGTGAAACCCTGTTTCTACTAAAAACACAAAACTTAGTTTGGCATGATGGCACATGCCTGTAAGCCCAGCTACTTCGGAGGCTGAGCCAGGAGAATCACTCAAAGAAGGAAATCAGAGGTTGCGGTGAGCAGAGATCACGCCACTGCACTCCATCCTGGCCACAGAGTGAGACTCCCTCTGGAAAAAAAAAAAAATAGATTTCTGCATATCTTTCACCAAGTTTCTTCCCATCTTACATGACCTTAGCACAGTTATTGAAATCAAGGGGATAATGCTGACACAGTACTATTAGCTAATTTCTCCGTCATACTTGAATTTCGCGTTTTTCCGTGAAAGTCTGTTTTCTGGCTTAGGGCTCAGTCCAGGATCTCTTACTGCATTTTGTCCTGTCTCCTTGGTCCTTTCCAGTTGGAGTGGCTCCTCTGTCTTTCATGCCCTTGATACCTGAAGAGTAGTTACCAGTTACATTGTAGATTGTCCTTTGATTTGGCTTTGTTGGCTGAAGAAATAATTTAGCAAGTATTTCATAAGTAGAGATCTTCACATTTCTGCTGGTGGGGAGGTATTGGAGGAAAAGCTCACCTCTCTACACATGTTGTTTGGTTCTCAGTTTAATGGCTATGCTGGGAGCCTCTTCTCAAGTGGGCCCTATGAAAAAGATGATGAGGAAGCAGATGCTATTTATGCAGCCCTGGATAAAAGGATGGATGAAAGAAGAAAAGAAAGACGGTAAAAGAAATTGTTGGCTTTCACAATATTTATCCAACTTTTAAAAAAAAGGTTGGCTGGATGTGGTGGCTCACACCTGTAATCCCAGCACTTTGGGAGTCTGAGGTGGGTGGATCACCTGAGGTCTGGAGTTGGAGACCAGCCCGGCCAACATGGC